AGTGATGATGATGGAGATGATGATGGAGATGATGATGGAGATGATGATGATGGAGATGATGATGATGGAGATGATGATGGAGATGATGATGATGATGATGATGATGGAGATGATGATGATGAGTATGAGGATTCGATGTATGACGGGTTATTTGCGTGATAGAGGGAGATTGGTGAAGGTGGCAATTTTGTTCCGTCTCTGTTCTTATGGTTATTTCTCAGTTCACCTCGGGCTCTGCCGCAGTTTGGCGGAAGTTCGTCCTGTCATCGTTCTGGTACTCGCCCTCGTGCTCTTCGTCTACAGGAGTGACATGAGACGCGTCGCTTGTGGAGGGTGACGTTCGACAAGGGACGATGAAGGCAACGAGCGATTTTCACCTGCTGAGAGCTGATAACTTCCTGCAGTCAAGGCTGACCCTCCCGATCTCTCAAGTTCTCTTCATCCCCGACAACCTACAAGCAGATGCAAGCACTCGGCGTGTTGCCTCCATCTCGCTGGTCAGGCAGAAGAGGGAGGAACACGGCAGGGCTCTCAGCCTGTCGGCTCGGCGCGAGGCTCCTCGCGACTCTCTCAGTCTCTCGGCTCAGCATCTCCCGCTCAACCCTCGTGCTGACAACATGTCCAAGTGGCACGTCAGCCCCTCCCCCCCTCCCTCGCCTGCTCCCGTCATCCGCCCTAAGACTGGAAACCCCTGTGAGCTCACGGGGACAACCGATGAGGGGATCTGACGGCTAGACAGGCAGACGAGCGGGTCCTGACGAGTTTGCCCGCAGAAGCTTCTCCTCCCTCAACCTGTCACTCGACCAAGACGAAGCCCATCGCCCGTCGACTGCTCGCCTGCCGCCTCGAGGAGCACGAGAAGTGATAGCGGTCGCCAAGCCTCGCGTGATCGACTTTCAACTCGTGCAGGAGAAGGAGAAGCATGAGGATGGGGAGGAGGAGTGAGAGTCACTTCCTTGCACCTGATGCTCTGACGTCCAAGTAGGTTGGAACGCGAGGCTCACAACGGCTGGCGCAGCAGGCAGCGATCTATCCCCAAGCTCAAGCACCAGTTCTTGTGGTGCAAGCTCCACAGCTCCTCCTCCTTTGTTGCCTCAGTCACAGACTTGAAGAAGAAGTTTCACCGGCGACTTGCAACGGACGATCAGCTCAGAATCTCCAACGTGAGCTCGAGCGCTTGTCTCTTCCTCTCAGTCTGTTCGCAGACGCTAGCAGCAGCGACTCGCATGGCGCTGACGCCTCGCCCGCTCTCAAGCCGCGCGACGCGAGTGGAGGAGAGGTGAGGGATGCAATCGCGTGCGCTGGTGAGTGTGGAACCTCAGGGCTCCGTCCGCTCCCTCCCATCGACCTGCTACTGTGCATGGAGGACGAAGGGAGCGAGAGAGTCAGAGGCCAGCAGAATATCTCGACCCCTGGGCGTCCGATGGCAACGACGAGGACAGCATCCGCGCCTTCGCCGTCTCCGTTCGCCAGGACTTGTACATCGATCACAGGAGCAAGACAAGCGGAAATGGAGGAGGCGGGAGAGAAAGATCGGTCTCACTTGACCCGAGCACACGCGTTCAGCTTCAGATGCTCGTCCAGTCAAGTGCTGGAGACCAGAAACTGCAGAAGCAAGCGAAAGGAACAGAGGCCTGCTATCGAGCACCAGCATAGAGAAGAAGGCGACAGGAAGGAGAGCGATCAAAGCTTGCAAGGTGGAGGAGGTTGGAAAGGAGGGACAGAGAGCTGGATGGAAGGAGCAAGTAGAAGAGAAGAGATGCGGAAAGACGAAGATGGAGGGAAGGAGGAAGCTGAGAGTCAAGAGGAGAGGATCGAGGAAGATGGAGAGATAAGTGGGGAAGGAGCTGGAGAGATAAGTGGGGAAGGAGCTGGGAAGGAAGAGGAGAAGGCTTGTGAAAGAAGCGAAGTCTCTATCGCAAGTCCTACTCGCCTCCTCTCTCCCTTGAGGTCTGGCCCCTGTCGTTCCCCCGAGCCCCGCAAGGTCTTAATGATCAAGCCTCACCTTGTCACCTACAAGTGCGAGAAGAAGGAGCCCCCGCCTCCTCCGCGCGACTCGCCAAGGAAGCTAGAGGGGAGGGAGGCAGAGGAAGGAGACAGCGATCAGCGAGGTCGCTCCTCCTCGTCCTCCTCCCCCCCCGCCTGATCTTCTCGAAGCCCAACGCTGGGTTCTTGTTCCGGCAGAGACTCGGGATGGAGGAGGTGATGGAGCGACGTAAAACTTACGACCCTCGACAAGCTGACACGAGGTGGATGGGGACGCCAAGGAACGAGATGAGCGGCAACGGAGAGGAGAAGGGGAGCAGGAGGGAGGGGCGAGGACGGGAAGGATCAGGATACTTGGAGATGATACGACAAAGCAACTCACCCAGAAAGATTTACAAAGAAGCGAAAGAGAAGAAGAGAACAAGTTGATGATGAAACAGCCGGGCAGTCAACATGACAACGAGATGAGAGACGTTGAAGTTGCTGGTGTTGGTATTGGTACAAGCGAGGTAGTTGGACTTGAGTTTAGGGCGGAATTAAAGACTGTTCTGCCTCTGACTGCTTCCTCCAAGACAGCAGGCATTGCCGGAACCCTCTATCGATGCTGCACACGCATAAGATCGATGAAATGGAGTGAAGGAGAACGAAGGAGCAAAAGGAGAAGTATGAGGAAGAGAAAAAAGAGTAGGAGTAGGATTATGAGTGGTAGCAGTAGGGGCAGGTGCTGATATGGATCACCTGTCATGGTTTAGGTTTTTGCCGATGACGATGAGCTCTGACACTTTCTCTTCTTCTTCTCGCCATTCTCTTCCCTCTTGACCCTTCAGCTCTCCACACACCTGCTCTCCACTCAGCCTGCTCTCCTCTCAGCCTGCTCTCCTCCCTCACCCCTTGCAACACGAAGAGCCTCCGCGAGCCCTCGACCGCCAGCACGCCCTTCATGCGATACACGTCCCTCCACCTCTCCTCCACCAGAGCAGACGCCCAGCTGACCACCAGCTCGTCACTTACGCCAGCAAACCAGCAGGATGAACCTGAGAAACTGCTTGAGGTCGATGAGATCATCGCGATCTGACCGAACGCTAGCACAAGAGTGAGCATGCCACGAAGAAATGATGGAGACGATGATGAGGATGATGATGATGATGCAGGTGATGATGATGAAGAGGACGAGGACGAGGACGAGGAAAGAACGAGGCTGGACGTAGCAAACCTTATCGCTCTGATGCCTGGCGTGTGTCGAGCCATGACGGCGCTCGGATGCTGCAAGGAGAGACATGAGCTCTGTTTTCGTGTCCTCTGCTACACCTCATCTCCGGCTAGTCGTCGCTCAATCACCATCATATCGGCCACCCGAGCAGCGTCAAATGCTCTCTGAGCAGAAGGGTGAGGAGGAGGAGGCGAGAAGGAGGAGGCCAGCAGGGGCTCACCTGGTCGAGAATATGATCGAGAGAGACCTCGCAGTGCTGGCATCGCAGGACTTTCGCATGAGGGTTTAGCTCCCCCAGCAGCTCCTCCAGCTCTTTCAGGTTTTCTTCCTGATCATTCCTGCCCTCATCCATGGGTTCAACCCTCGAGCTCCTCCCTCCTCTCCTCACCTCCTGTCCGTCTTGTTCATCAGGATGCTCGTCGCGTGCGCTATCTGCCGATACACCTCCGGCGTCTTCGCTCCCCACCCGCGGCCGTCCAGGTGCTGCCAGACGTTGTGGCAGTCGATGATGGCGACGACGCCGTCGAGGAAGAACCTGCCGCTGGCGTTGCTGAGGCTGAAGAAGGTCTGCATGATGGGCGCCGGGTCAGCCAGCCCGGAGGTTTCGATGAGCACGTAGTCGTACTGCAGCTCTGTCAGTCGCCAGCACCTAAACCGCCTCTGATCTAAACCTAGCCCTAAACCAACCAAAACTCAATTCTCCTCTTCTAACCTCATCATCCTGCAAGATGTTCAGCAGATGGTTCAGAACTCGTTCCAGCTCAGGCCCAGCTCCATCGCCAGTGCAGCACATGCAGCCGTTCTTCATAACAAAGATTCCGACAGCTGCTTTTTCTTGCTCTCCTGCACGCAAGACCTTGTCGTCTATGCTGATCGAACCTGCTTCGTTCTCGATCACCACAATGCGCTTGCCGTGCGTCTCAGAAGAAAGAACGCTGTTGACCAGGGTTGTCTTTCCGCTCCCAAGAAATCCTGTCACGATCGTGACAGGCGTCTTCAGCTTGCTTGCTTTGCTCAACTCCTGCGCTTTCGCAGAGATACGCTGCTTCCGCTTTATGTCCAGCCACCAGGCCAGACAGTTTGACAAGAAGAACGTGACGAGCATGAGAGCCGAGACGCCTGCTCTCCAGCTCAGCTGCCCTCCTATGCCCCCCTCTCCTACTCCACCAACCTCTGATACATCCATGCAAGACCCCCAGCAAAGCCCTCGCCCCTCTTCCTCAGTTTCTGTCCCTCAGTATTCTCTTTCCTGCCCACCTCTCCCCACCCCTCCTCAACTCAACTCAACTCAACTCCCCTCCGCCCCCCTCTCCTCCCCTCCTCTCCCCCCTCCTCTCCTCCTCTCCCCTCCTCGTCTCCCTCCTCGTCTCTCCTCGTCTCTCCTCTCTTCGTCTCTCCCCTCCTCGTCTCTCTTCGTCTCTCCTCTCTTCGTCTCTCCTCTCTTCGTCTCTCTTCGTCTCTCCTCTCTTCGTCTCTCCTCTCTTCGTCTCTCCTCGTCTCTCCTCTCCTCCTCTCTTACCAACATAGTGCGCCCAACTTTCGTCTACCATTCCAACCGTTGTACCGC